GCTGTGGTTAGAAAACTCCCAACTCTCACTGTTGCTGCAGAAAAAAAAACTGGCAGAGCCAGAAATTACTACCCCAGCAGCAGGCAGCAGTGCTTCCTGGTCTAGTCCGGTTAGCCAACACCAAGCAATGCCCACATGTTTTAGGCAGAATGAGGAAGAGCCCCTATAATGGGACACAACCTCTGCGATCACAAGGGGACTTTGCTGGCAGATCTTTAGCACAGAAGCATAGATCTCACCCCATAAAGGCCATTTGTAAATGGTCTTTTGCAAAGGTTTTTTCGGTTTTGTTTTTTTTTTCTCCCGCTCTAGTGAGAAGTGCCCAGGGGCACTCAGAGCTTCAGGAGAACAAGGCAAGCAAGGCCTGCTGATGCGGCACCAAGCCTTACAAAACCAAGGTAAAACCAGGAACAGAGGCCTGGCTATTTTCGCAGAGGACGCGTGAAGGGAAAATGTTCCAATCATGCCCCTACAGAGAAAGCCTGTTCTTCTTTCCAACAAATCCTTGAAATCATAACCCACCTGCAGATACCACACGCATCAATACACACTGTACATTAAGCCACCTGAATTGAGCTGCAGTACGCCTGCTACAACACACCGCACGCAAAAAGGGAAAAAATGCAGCAAAGTGGAGCTGTGAGAAAACAGAATGGCAAAAATAAATCCAGGTATCAAATATGTCAACTGTTAGCAGAGCTCTGCAGAATGAAGCACCACCAAAGGCTGGCAGACAGCACTTTTCCACACGATGGTCCATGGGTGGACTTACTAGGAACAGACACAAAACCAGGCACAGAAGTACCAGAGAACAACACGCCCGGGCAGTTTATCAGCGCAGAAATCCCCAACAACTCACCTGAGCGAGGGAAGGTGACACATGTGCATGCCTGAATTTCTTGGAGTCTGCCTAAAGGATTGTTAATAACATGTTCAACAAAGCCCTCCACTGCCACAGACTATACCCCTTATTTCAGACAATCGGATCAGGAACAGCGAGAAACCTTTCAGTCCGCAATCCCACTCAATTAAAGTGGCAGTTGGAATGAGCTGCAGTTTGGGGCAGGGAAAAAAGGAAAAAGCAACTGCAATTCTTTTTTTTTTTTATTATTAGCAAATGGACAGTATCTGGACACCTAAAGGAAATCAGCCCTTTCCAACATTAACTCAAATGTTGTTGTCAATTACTTGCACCACTCCCACACTTCAGTATTTGTCTTTCACAGAGCCAGAACCTTTGGGTAAACAAAGAGCACAGAAACACAAAAAAATACAATATATACAGGTTTCCCACCAACTAAATGGACTTAGATTTTTGGAGATTAGCGACACTTTGTTCATTTGACTTTGCAAGTAATATCAAAACATCTCAAGTTTTAAAATAAAAAAATACTACAATATTCACAATATAAAACTTAAATACATTTGTTTAAAAATTAAAGGACTGCTAATAGCTATCGGTTTATCACAGCCGTCTCTTTCAACAGAAGCTGTGCTGATGAAGCACTGAGAATTTAAGGTTCACAAAGCAACATTCACATTCTGCACTGCTCCTGGTCAGAGCTAAGACGCTGCCACGCTCATGAGACAGTGCTGCTGGAGACTCGTCCAGGAGCTCAACTCAAATATGTCCCTCTGTCAGAGTACGGCAAGGTCACAGCACAAGGCAAACACCCACATACAGCGGGGCTGCCCACTTCCCAAGAGCAGAAATGCAGGTCCACACATCACCATCACATGCACGTTTTATCTAGTTGTCTGCCTTCCCAGCTCAAGCTCTTCAGTTCACGGCTGGGCGAACGGAGCGGAAACTACGTGACTCTTCCTCTCCTCTGTTATTCCATCCCTGCTAATGTACTCCTGTGTTTTATTAAATAGTCATTGAATAAAGTGACTGGAGAGAAAAAGCTCCTCTCTGGTGTAACTCTGCAGAGTGCAAAGGAACCGCACCAACGGGGACTCTGCCCCACAGTGCTGAGTGTGCAAGCTTTACACAAACAGGGCAGACAAGGGAGCAAGAACCTACAAAGGAGAAATTCAATCCACCCTTACGTAATCTCATCCACGATAAAAGAGATCATTAAGTGTGCTTGAAAGGCAAGGGAATCAAATTTTGCCTAGGAAATCCAGATTCTGACAGAATCCAGGTTTGGTTATTTCATTCTCACTTCACCATTCAAAGGAAGCAGAAACTAGGACAAACAACAGCTACAGTATTTATCTCTTTGGTAACTTCTGTAAAAGAGTCTCTAAGCAATGGGTACATCTTACAGTAATCATCATAAAAGCTCAATAAGATCCTGTAGAAGTTTCATAGGTTGAAAAACACTGGGGTACAAACTGGGCAAATAGCTTGCCCAAAATTAAACTGGACATATGGGAGGGTGAGAAAGACCGCACAGGAACTGGATCCCTCAGATTCCTGCTCTAGCCACACAACAGTGCCTCAGTGAGAGCGGATCCCAGATACACAAGCTGGATCAATAACCTCTTATTACAGACAGAAGGTCTGGAGTGCATTTTAGGATATTTCTTTAAGGCAAAAATGGGTGAATACTAGCTGCGGAGACAGGCAGGCCTGGCAAATAGTCCGAAAGCGGATCAAGTAGCTGTAGTATACTTTCACAGTCAAGTGGCTCCGTGAGTCAGTTTAAAGAGGATTTGGATCCCACCGCTTCTGGTTGCACACTACTTTTAAGTCCAGCTCAGGTAAGCCGCAGCCTTTCTATGACAGAAAACTACCTGTTGCGTAAAATGCCTTCGCTTTTGTTTAGTTTCACATTCAAAGTTAGTTTACAGAACCAGCTCTCCCCTCGTATTGCAAAAAGACTCAGCTGATATAGCAGGGGCTGAAGAGGCAGCAGAGA